GTCGTCGGTCTCCACGACGAGGTGGTTCATTCCTTCGCCAGCAAACCCGCCACCTCTGCTGCTGCTGCTGCTGCTGAACTTCTCTTCCTGCGAGGTTGACGACGAAGAAGGCCTTATGCGTTCGGGGCCGCCGCACATGTTCCGGCTAGGCGGAGATGGGCCTGTAGGAGATTCATAAGATGAGAAATGAAGACAAGATTCAATCTTTTTCTTGTTCAGAAAGTTTTATGGGAAAAAATGGTGAAATATTTGCAAACACAGACTAAGGGGAGAAGGATCGGATTAAATTATAAAGAAATAAATTTATGTAGATTTATTAACGACAGAGAGATTTACTCTCGGAATTTGTATGGAGAACTCTGAAAACGACCTATCTTTTGAGGTTAAGGAACAAAAAGGAAAGAGAACACAGGGCATCTGGTAGTTCAAGAGAGCCTTCCAAGATCAAAACCATGGTAGTTCTTGTAATCAGGAAACAGATTTCAACAAAGAGGGGTTTCTACCAACAAGTACACTGTAATAGACTGATGACTAGCAATACGAATCACCAAAAGAAACAAAAAAAGAAGAAAAAGAAAGAAAGAAAACCAAGAACGCACAAACCTTGGCTGTTGCAGAGCGATCAGCAAAGATAGGATCAAGCCGACAGCCAAACGACCACGGATCAGCTCAAACCCCTTCGGATCCTTCACCTATCCGACCACCAGAACCAGTAGGCGGCGACAGGACCCTCCAAGACCCAGCGAACGGGCGGAAACCCCCCACGCCGCAGCCAGACCTCCATCGAACAGCGACCAATCCCGCTGGTCCAGTGAGCAAACGAGGAGCAGACGAAGAAGAGAGGTGGGGGAAGGGGAAAGCCCGGAAATTGAAACGAAACGCTCGTCAAATGAAATGAGAGCCAAACTCTGGGAACGAGAATTTAACCTTCCCCCCTTACCTCTTCTCCTCTCGTTTCTTCTATCTTATCGCAGGAGAATTTTGTTAAACCCACGTGTATCGGCTGAGCCCACGGAAATCGAAGCGACCATTCTCGTCACTCGATGAAGGTGGGCCTCATAAAGCTGTTTTGTGGGCTCCACCATTCCGTTCAATGAAAAGGCGGCTTCGTCTGTTTGGTGGGCAGACCCGGTACAGAGAATCAGCGATATCAAGCAGTAATCGACCTCGCGGCCACCGGCCGAGCCGGTGGGGAGGGGAAGTGAGCGCCTCGGTGACCGCGCGCCATTGGAACCGGGTTCGATTCGGACTCCAGACAGCGGTCAAATCGGGCTCACAGCTCGGTGAATTCCGGTAGTTAAAGAACCTCGATGCGTTGACACCCAATAGAAGCGCGCCAGCTCCTTTTTTCAGGGGAAAAGAAAACGCCCTCCAGGTCGACTGAATCGCCCGAGACAGCGCCTCGTGGTGAAGTGGCGCCTTAGCAATCTCCTGAGCCTGGGCCCTACAACACGTACCTGACGTAACCCCAAATTTTTCAGGGGTGACTCGGACAACACCCCCAAATAGCGCGGCTCTGTTTTCAGGACTGTCCGTCGGCTGGCTTCTGCAGCAGGCGTGACAGGTGCAGCCGGTCGCCGTGCGATGAGGGGTAGAAGTAGCAACGAGCGGTGAATAGTGCGCGTCCTTTTCCCGTTATCGAAGTTTCCCGGGACCGTCTCGTGAAGTGGCGAAATTACATATATACTCTTTATATATGAATTAGAAGCATGTACATCGGACGTGTATTTCCAATATAGCGAAGGTCTATTTGGGTATTTGGCTTGGATAAAACTTTTTTCTACCAGGAAAAAGTTACGCGTCCTCGACACCTTGCTGGCGATTGGAGATGGCGAGGGATTCCATGTGGGACCCAGAAGAGGCTGTTTGTTTTCTCCAGTTAGCAGCCTGGTAGGAATCGTTTCCCACGAGAGACGGCACGATGGGACGGGTGGAGTGACCTGGGCCGTCGACGAGATTCGAGGGAGACGTTTAAGATACGACGAACGCTGCGGGCTAAGTTACCGCCGGTTGTCGAAAAGTGGCTGGGCCCCGCGCCTATTCCTTCCTCACTTGTACGTGCCCAACCCACCCAAATATATCTCACTCGTCTCGGAAGGATGCCACATCCGTGTTTCGCGCGTGGGCTTTGCCCAAAGGTATCGCAGTGGGTATGGGAGTCACGTGTCTTCGTCTTTGGATAAGAGGGAAATCCAGAGTAATATGGGACCACAGTATCCGCACCCATTCAAGAACCGCCACGTTCACCGATCGCCGCGTTACCAGCTGCACCTACTCGAGATGGGTGAATTGGGTCCCACTTGTGGGTCCAGCCATTTTGTGGGCGCATTTATCAGAAAAGTCCCTCCAAAATCAGTAATTAAAAGCAAATTATAAACTCACGTTAAAGATTACCGATCATGCAGACGACAGGTTCCCATCTCTATCTCTCTTCTCTGTCCGAGTGTTATCTAACCAAATTTAAGATCGCTGATCAAATTGCGGAATCAAAATCATTTCATCCCTGCCTGTACCTCACTCCTTCCGTTGCTACTTCGATTCCAAACAAGATTGACCATTGTGGTTTCCCAAGAGGGGGAAAAGAACAAGGAAGGAGTCAGGTCGGCATCGTCTTCCTCTAGCATATGGTCCCATCTTTTTCTTCTTCCTTTCGAACATCCGTGAGCTGTGCTTCACCAAACAGACATAAGAACTTTTTACCTCCAAAGCGTCGGTGGCTTTCCGATATCTTCTCCGCTTTCTGAGACACACAAACCAGCATCCAAAAACCAAAGCACAAGCGGTGTGTGTGTGTGAGAGAGAGAGAGAGAGAAACAGTGGAGATGACCGAGTTTGATGTTGGTGTCTATGGATCTTTGTTTCAGCACTCACATTTCCTGTTTGATGATGATGAGTGACATTTAGTGGAAAAATATTATGTTCTTGAATGATAGGTGGATTACATTTCAAGGAAGATTAGACGTAGAGTAGGTAGAAAAGATTGTGTGGCATTCATAATATGATCACAATAAATGACTTCCTGAAAGAAAAGGCTGTTCTTTGAACATTTATCATGCTCTTGATTTTAATTTATCAAAGAATTTTAGTTTGAATAAAATAACGATTACCTGAACATTGGTTTGGGTAGTGTCACGTCAATAAGTTAATTTATCTATTCAATTTTAATTTTAATTATTTTTAATGTGAGATTAATTGGAAATATTATAATGTTTCTCGTTAGAAAGAATAATTTAGATTTTGATGTGCTAACTTATCAATCTCGTTTGGCTCGAATCGTTAGTCAAAATATTTAAATTAAAATTACTAATTATATATTAATCATATTCTCATAAGTTAATTTTAATTTTAATTTTGATCGTTTTTTATATAAGACTAATTTGGAGGTGTTACAGGTAAAACCTTTACTTGCATTAAGTTTCAATAAAAAACTCATTTATAATCTTTGGAGACAAAAGTATACGGATGAATCTTTTGATTATGATTATGAAATATTTTGGAATTTAATTTCTTAAAGAAACACTTAATGAGGTAATGAACTATTCTTTATGATTGGTAAAAAAATATATACTCTTCATAATCATCAAAAAAAAAAATTCTTTATGAAGCCGATAAGACTAGTTAAGGATGACTAGATGCATAAAACTTTAACGAAAGTGGATAAATGCATAACACTTTATGATTAATACTAATAAATATCATTAAAAATAATTGTATCATGATATCAAATTTATCATTATTATTTTATATAAAAAATCTTATTTTAACTTATGAACAAGTGAATACATCATGAAAGATCCGAAAAAAAAACCAAGCTTGTTGGTGGACCTCTACGTCGTGGTCGAGGAGCTTGTATGGCTTGGTCTGATTGTCGATGTCTAGGATCGTCCCGAGGATGAGACCTTTGTCAAGTTGGATTGAGGTCAAGGTTGGTCGAGATGCACCTCTTCAATGAGTATGCCTTTTGTCACCTCTGGTTCCTGCACACTAGCCTAGGTTGGGATGGGAGGAGTATCCCGACTTAGGCCATTCCAAAGATCAAGTCAATGAAACTTTTTTTGTGAAAAATCTTCCGCCCTCTTTTGCCAGATGTTGGCAGGGGGCTTTTACTCTGATGCTTGAGGGTCGATCGTACGCGATCTTCGTGCGACGATTGACTCCCTAGACGATGAGTTTGTACTTTCGGACGACCACCACCCAGTATGTGTGGAACGACGTCATACGGCATTGTCCCGAGCTTCCCGAAGTGGTCCTTATTTGGGAAGACATTGGCTCGTGTGGCTTTAGACAGCACGAGAGAGGAGCGGCCGTCGTCTCGAATTCCTGGTGGCGCATCCGACGTGGTGCCACGTCTTCCTCCCAAGGTTCTACATTTGCAGTGACGTGGTCGGAGGCCGTGTCCAAGTGACGAAATCCACAATATGCTCTATCAAAACTCTCTCTTTTTAATGTTCTCATTCGTTTATATTCATCCAGCCTTCTTAAATTTTATGGTTTGCTAAGACAAATATTTAGCCTCTATAGTAAATTCTCTATTTATAAGTTTGAGTATATTTTTTAGGACTGTAATTAGTTTACTGACTTAGCAATAAATTTTGTTCATAACATTTAAGATTTTATAATAGTTTACTTTTATTATAAAAAAAACATGCCATGCTGCTGCCATATTTAATGTACAGTAATTCCAAGTGAAATATAATTTGATCATTTAATTTACTGAAAATATTTATTTATTCAATTTCTAGGCCTTCTATTTGGCAGTAATTTTCCAAAAAAATAATAATAAAGCAGTATTCATCAACAGAAAGCCAGAAATCAGTGCTCTGAACTGAGTACTCTTTTGGTACAGATGCGTCGCGACGCTCTTTCGCCACCTTTCATCTGATTGGACAGGTCTCAAGTTTTATGTGGGCCCCGATATGTATCTCCGACCGAAAGAATGGTACGGATTTGCTGGTGGGTGGGGAAATTATGTCGAATTATTTCTCTCTCGAGGGGGACAACCACCGTCGCTCCCAAACGCACGTCGACGGATGGAGCGCGCCATTTCCCGGTCCTCGCCGCTCGCGAGCAGCCGACCACCATCCCTCGGCGTCGGCGGAGAGCAGCCGCCTGGAGGAGCTGACGGCGCGGCCGGGCGTGGGCGCTGCCGCGGGGCGCGAGGGGAGGCCCTGCTCAAGGCCCTCCGCCAGGTCAAGAACGAGTTCATCGGTAACAAGACCAAGAAGCCCGCCCTCCTCCGCAGCGAACGGCCGCCGGCATCCTTTTCCATTCCGATGATAAGGTACGCGATGATTTGGCGATTCCTCTTTCTTGATTTCGATTTCTGAATTTGACTAAGGAGGCCAAGTGTCCTTATGGTTTCTTGTTCTTTTCCTTTACTAGCCTACAATGGAATGAATTGAGAGGTTCTTGGAAAATTATGCTCGACGAGGGTCGATTATGAGCTGCACGATGTAGGATAAGTGCGAGGGTTTGCTGGCATGGAGATTTTGGCAAGGTCATCTTTAGTTGTAGACAGGTAAAAAGTGGCATGGTTTACGAAATGGAAGTGATTGTTAGATTAAGGGCATCGTTAAGGGTTGTGTTGTCGGGGAACCAAGTGCTCCTTTTTGCTCACTGATGAAATTGCAAGTATGAAGAGTGATTTCATAGCGAAAGCTAATCACTGAGACGAAAGATTCCAAGTAAAAGTAGAATTTTAAAGTGGAAAACACCAAGATCTTTACTTGGAAAATCTTAGCAGGGAAGATATCATGAAATCTACAGAACAGAAATAAGGCTCTATTAGGGGCATACAATCATCGAGATGGATAGAGGGCTTTCGTCCTTTCATAAACACGTTAATGTCATGTGGATTTCAATAACAAGAGGAGAGGTAGGTAACTCAACCAATAGCGTCAGATACTTGAGGTATTTCTTGGAAAGGAGAAAGTGCACAAGATCTTGGTGTTGGAAATCCTCATTCAAGCCTTTGCTGAAATATTATGGTGCTTAGTGCATTGTTCCATCTAAGAGCATCTTGTATGTCAGCCCATTTGGTCGCTTGATTGCCCTCCCTATAACAGTGAATACATGAAAACTGCCCAAAAAGGTTAATCGAATGCTTGTTGTTCAATATGATGTTTAGTATTATCCAAGGAGGAGCTCGAGCAGCAGAACAAGTACTAGAATTTGCCTCCAGTTTGGACTCGAGTAAAACTTTCTCCTTTCTTAGATTTTTTTCCTTTGCACTTGAGGTCTCACGATAAACAACAAATTTGTTTGATATAAACTTATACCTAGCAATCACACACGTATTCATCACACAGAAAAAAAATCCTGAGTCTTGATCCTGTTGAGAAGCAGACCCATCAATATTAACTTTTATCCATCCTGTGGGTGATTTATGCCATCAAACTACAGTAGGGTTGCACAAGATAAGTCCTTTAAGCACTTGTTTTCTAGCATAGTAGTTTGTGAATGTTGATGTTTAAGAACAGGTAAATGTAAGATTTAGCTGCCTATTGTTAAAAAAAGAAAAAATTACATTACCTCCAAATGAACCATAAAAGGTCTGTAATGAAAGCACTCAGGATCACAAAGTTGTGAAGTATCATTTCCCTACTTGAGCCAAGTGCCATCGATCCAAGTCTCAAATTGCTGAATTTTGACATTTATACTCCTCTTTATGGACCTTCAAATTTTAAACCAGAGAAAAGTTAAAGAATAAATGGAGAGATTACTCATGGAAAGACCCACATGAAGGACATGATTGTTCAACCATAATATGCATCTGAGCTAGTCTGTTTGTCATTTATGAAGCAATTTTCAGCAAAATTTCTGGACCCGATGGGATATGAGAATCCACCATGAATTTTATCCAACCAACTTATAGATGTATCCTTACAATGAACATTATCAAATATCTGTAAGTGGTCCTAGCATTGGAAACACTGTTAGAATTGGATTTCCAGACATGGTCATCAGAAGGGGCTTGTGCAATCTGCATTTGATTGGCAGTATCAGGACACTTTAAGTCCAATAACAATTAAGTATTCCAACAACCGAATGGATAAAATGATTACCTTGCATAAAGACCGATCATATTCTTTCTATATTAATAACAATTAAGTGGTCCTTGAAGTAAGCTTTCTGCCAACAAACATACGAAAGTTCTAGTCATCCTTGAGAAAGCAGGTCATGGCTCCATCTTTTAATTTAATGAAACCCCCATGGAGCATCTGCATGGATCGTAGGAAGAACCTCTTGCTCCAACTTTAATTCCTCAATACATATATATTTCATGGATGCACAGGATTATACTTCACATCACAATAACCCATAGCCCATTATGTTGGTTTAGCTACATCATCATCCAAGTGGTATGCACCACAAATCTAGACTAACAAAGATCGTGCACCCTAAGACCTTCTTTGGATTTAGAAGTGATTTTGTCCCAAGCAATGAGATGCAACCTAGCCGAGGTGCAATCTTTTTGTCTCAAAAAATCTGTAATGAGCTTCAATTTTAGGATTTGCTCAAGCATCCATGTCACAGTAAGTAAATGAAGAGGCTTCAAATTAAGAATCAAACTAATCAATACAATTCGACCTGCATGAAAGGTAAGTTCCTTGCCAGCTAGCAAGCTTGCATTTGAGTTTATGAAGTATTTCTCCATGAGTTGACATAGGGACTCTATTTGGTGCAATCATAGCTCCCAGATATTTGAAGGGAAGGGATCCCACCTCAATATTTGGCATAGAGCATATCTGAATCCTAGTGTGTCTACTAGCATGTTCGGGGAAACTAAAACCTCAGACTTAGTTATAATTGTATGTGATATTCTGCTAGTCAGGTCTTGACTAGATCTAGATCATACTTTGACTTGATTGGACTGATTTTATTTAGTAATGATTTTATAATATAATATTTTATTCATTATTCACTGGGTGGTTTAAATCATTTAATCATGATTAGTTGGTATTTATTATTGTACGAATTTTATGAATTACTAGTTTAGGATGATTTACTTGATACCAATTAATTAGTTGGTATCATGAATTAACAAATATTTTAGAATTGTCTGGAAATATTTTTCTCTCAGTATTTATTCAAATATTTTTAGAATTTTATTGATAAGTTATGATCTGTTGCAGAACCTAAGTGAAGGCTATTTTTACAGTGAGGCAGTTATTGGTAACGTGGTCCGACTTTTATGAGACTCATCTACATCGGTTCAGGTAAGTTTGTCTACATGGACAATAAATTTCACTTGTATTAGAAGTTAGTCTGGCCTCCCTTATCTTGCCCCGATGTTGTCACAAAGAACTAAGCTGTAGGTCGATATTGGCAGCTTAATAAGTTGATGTTATCATCATTATAAATGATAACAGTTCTTAGTTTAACTAAATTTTTAGCTACATGTTTACTTGGTTCAATATCAAAGGATGGTATCTACAAGTTTATTTGTTTTCCATATCGTGTCGCCAATTCATTATTATTATATAAAAGAGAAGCAAGTGTCATTTGATTTTACGGAGGGATATAGTCCTACTGGTATTGTGATTTATAATACTAGTTTCTGCTGGTTTTTTGTTGTCAACATCTCCATAATCTATTTGTTGTACATCTAATATTTTATTGTGTACAAAAGTGGAATAAAAAAGACCTGCATTTCGTAACCTCTTGATAATTGTGATGTGACTCTGTCAATAATGTATTTCTAGAAGATAATGTTTTTTTAAATGTTGTTGTGAGACAGTTGCAGAATGCATCATCTGTAGGAGTATATACTCAGGTGTGTGTTCAATTGTGCCATCTTTGTCTACTTTTATATAACTTCTGCCAAATTCTTGCTGTTCTCTACCATCCCGTTTTTTTTTTCCTACTTTTGACTCGGACATATCTTCACGCATGATCATTAGTCATGCATCAGTGCTAGTGAAATAAGAATGTACTAACTTATAAGTTGTCTATATTACTCTGCCAGCTTGAAGCTATTACTAGAAACTCGTGGCCAAGTTGCTGGATATTACTCCCACCAGCTTGAAGTTATTACTAGAAACTCATGGCCATACCTCGCTGATGGTTTTTTAGACTAATGGTGCATATAAATTCAAATATTGCATTGTCCTGGTATTAAAGTTAATGAACTTCCTCAGTTTTTCATGTCTGGCATTCTAAATAGAGTTTGCATCTCAGTAGATTTGACATCAGGTTTCAAAGAGTCGGATTGTAAAAAAGCTTTGGAGAAAAATATGGACAAACAATAATATATAATTATGTATTTAAAATTTATCTGAATCTTTAGCCTTTTTTTGGTAAGTGATGATTCTGATGTCCCATCAAGAGAAATTTCACCCAGAAGATGACATGCTTTGGCTTTGTTCAGACATGATTCAAATGTAGTTGTTTTCAAGCAGAACTAATGATTTATGATTTGCTTAATATATATGCTTTATGATATAAAACTGTCTTTCAGGGAATGATTGTGCTCAATAACATTACGGCTGGAAGCGAGTCTGGGAAAGAGTGATGAATTATCCTGTTCTGCCCCGAGAAGATGGTAACATTCCCTCACTTGCACCTAAGTTCTCGCATAGTAAGGACGATTGGCTTCTCTATGATGCTTAGTGAACCTAACATTCCTAGCTAGTGCTGGTTTATCCAGTAGGGTCGCAAGTTTCCAAGAAGCAGGGATGATTTTTCAGCTAAAATTCATGCTTAATGATCCCTACTCGGACTGCAAGGTCTAAAATCTAAATGGCCATGCAAAACTATATTGTTTTGGTCAATGGTATTCCAAAATTCTAACTTTCAGAAATCCTTTATTGCAGCTTCATGTGAGAGCCATTATCGAGCAGTGCATCAGTACCTTCTGCTTTTGGTGTTGTACACTTGCTTTTGAATCCCCTCCAATTGGAACGCTGTTAATTGCTTTGCATTGACAGGTGAATACACGTTAAAATATATTCTTTCTAGGTTATCTCCACTGCTTCGAGGAATCGTTCGATGCTCCTTGCGGAGAAAAAGCTGGTGGATTTTCTTTTCTATTTTTTTTGTTGTTGTTGTGATACGCTGTCTATCGTCACTTGAAATGCATTCAATGATCCCTTGTTTCTTTTTCTTTTTCATGTACGATAACACACTGTAATGAATGAAATCGGATGTTAATTCGAAGCTTTGGCCGAACTTATATTTGATTCTTTCAGATGAAATACAAGCAAACAATTGACAGTCTCCTATGATGAGAAGTTTAGTGTGGATGTCCTCTTTGTTTGCTTCTGTCTAACATCCTTGGCAAAGAAAATCTCAATTTAAAGAATATTAATTTTTTGATTATTCAGGGATTCATAACCATTGGAAATATTTACGATTGTGTTACAAGACATCATATTAGTCCGAAAATAAATAAATGATCTCTATTGAGATATCATAATGGTGGTTAGTATATATATTATTACGGTCTCATGTTTAAAATCAAAACTATTTTTTTACAAAAATGTTAGAACTAAATGAAAGATTTTGAAAATTCATAGAGGTATTAAAAAATATATGATGTCTCTGGAATAAATTATATATATTATAGTACCATGTATAAGCCTTTTTTTTTCTTTTTAAAATTTATAGAGTAATCGACAATTTATAATAATGATATTTTTAATATCATTATATTTAGTGGGAGGGAGGGAGGGATTTGCAGCATGAAGAATCAAGCCAAGGCATGCTCGAATGAGTCTTAACTCATCATGGCGTTGCTCATCAAAGCACCGTAGCAAAGGTGACACCTTTTAGTAGCACGCAAACAATCATCACTTGCAAGGAATGATGGAGTTGGGGTGGCCATGGCAGGAGACTGACTACTCGATTGCTGTGTGTCTATGGATGGAGGACTGTCGAAGCTCTAAGCATCGACAATTGAGATAATAGCATTTGGGATTTGTTTCTTTTCTTTTCTTTTTTTTGATGGGATGATAATAGTATTATAATATTGTGATGGGGTGCACTTCAAAATATTATTATCCCTTATAAATTAGTATTTTTAATATTATTTTCGTAACTCCAATTTTGTTTATTCGGTTCATAAAAAAATAATCTTCTTATATTATTTATTGTTGAGAAAGAGAGAGAGAGAGAGAGAGAGAGAGAGAAAAGTTTCTTCTAGAGAAACCATGACCTTCAAATTCTTCGCAGATTCTAATTCCGGAACGAATGGCTTTTGCTTACAGCCGCGGATCACATCGCCCGAAGAAAAGCTGCCTCTATGAGTAGTTGGAGAAGAAGGGAAGAGTCAAAGCAATTAATAGCCTCCTCATGTCCTCAACAACCCCAATCCCCCGCTAGCTTCCTTCGTCTGTCAAACAGCCATGCAAGTCAAAGCAATGATGATGATGATGATGATGATGATGATGGTGATGGTGATAAGCCCTGGGGGAGTTCTCTCAGCACCTCGTGTTATGTGTGGCTCCCATTTCAAATGTGTTGTATCAAACTTCATAGGTTTCAATATCCTTGACTATATATATATATATATATATATATAGCAAAGATTTAAATATCATCTAAATATATTATTTATTTTTTATTATCACATTCAATAATATTGGAGTCCGATACGTTGATATTGTATGCGCCAATAAGTTGATGAAACTAGTAGTGTATGCGCCGATAAGTTGATGAAACTAGTAGTTAGTTCCTTGATATGTAGAACATGAAAAAATGGAGATGAAATTAAAGTCAAACATGGTCAAGAAAACTGCATAGCATGACCAACAAGAAGCTCAAGATTGGTAGTGATGAAACACACTTGTGGAAGATTTTGTCAAATTTATATCAACTTACTGAAACTTCTAATAGCCAATTGTCCAAGAATCAAGATAAAAAAAAAATTATCGGTCTTGGAAGATCCGATAGAACTAACTTACTGAGACTCGAGTCGCAAAGAAACAATATCACTGTTCGAACAAAGACTCTAAACAAGTGTTCATCATCAGATGGCAAGGCACAATAAACACAATGTTGGATTGGAAGGAGGGCATAATATATTCAAAGTTTGCTTCAATCAGACAAGATCTACAGAGAATAATTAGACCAAATGCATGAAAGGTTAAGCTGCCATTCCCCAACATGTGGCATCCACCTTCCTGCATCAACATCCTACAACTAGTCACATTGTTACAGCCATAAGCCCCATCAACATCCCTCTAATCAGAACACATCCGGACAAAGCTGGCAATTAGCTCGTCGTTCCCAACAAGACCAAAACCAAAGATGTGGCTGCAGACTTGAGTCATAAATTGAAATCAACAAGCAAGAATGCCAAAAACAGGATTTCCAATTTCAAAATACTCTAAGATATGTTTCTTTGGTTTTAATCTGCCCCAACTTTCAGCTGCAAAGATCCATCCTTCATCAACTTTGAGCTGAGGCTACTGAAGCGCTCCCTTGAATACTGCCTCGACGCCTTCCTCCAATCCGTTCCTGCTTTCATCATCGCTGCAAACTCCTCATAACTTATCCTCCCATCCTGCAACCAAATGCCAACATCATCTCATTATTATTATTACCATCATTATCAGAGAAAAGATCAGATTCTTGCTCACTACATTTTAATCTTATCGATAAGGTTCATAAACATGTTTTAGTTGTATGCTAAACAAAAAGAATATTTTTTTTACATGAGAGATTAGAAGAAGCAAGCAAGTAGGTAATAGGTTATGGGGTGTTTTGTCCATAAAAGGACTATGATATTTGACCTTGTCAGTGTCTACGTCACGAATGATAGCATCAATGACTTCTTCATGATTTGGACCTAAATCATCCACCAACGAGTCCTTGAGCTCTTCAATTTCTATGTAACCACTCTTGTTCTGATCAAAGTATGAGAAGGCCTTATGAAGGTGTTCATCGTTTCCAATCTTTCGCAAGTGAATTGATACAGCAACAAATTCTCCATAGTTCAGGGTGCCGCTTCCATCGACGTCACCCTGTCATCAACAATATGTGATCAGTTTAACAATCTTTGAATTAAATAACTTTATTATAACATATGTAGGAGTAGATTATGACACAATATATTACATTTACTACAACCAACTTTCTTCCACCTACTTTCTATTTTCCATCAAGGTAGGGGTAGATTAAGCACAGAATAAATTTTCCATCATGGTTTGCATCTTTGCTTTTGGGTGTACATTGTAGTAAAGAATCTGACAAGACCACAAGTTGGACACAAAGAAGAAGTTCCTCAAATAACAATTAAGACATCCGATTATGTACTTACTGCTTCCATTAATATCTGTACATCTGCATCGGAAATCTGGTGACCAAGCTTGTGCAAACCTAATTTCAATTCCTCAAAGTTTATTTTTCCATTTTTGTTTATGTCCATCTTGTCAAACATATCCTTTATGTCTGCTGCTTCCTCAACAGATAAATATTCAGCCACCACCTGCGATGATAAGTCTGAATGTATCAGTGGCTGGGATCTGCTTGAAAAGGAACATTGATAAAAAGTGCAATAGATAGAGAACAGCTAACAAGAAAATTCTTAGTCATGTACAGTATCAGAAGCCAAATGTGAATATTTTTTGGATGTGGAATGGACTCAACCAATACAATAACGAATATTCTTAGTTCTTACCCTTAGAGCTTTCTTTTTAAATTTATTCATCACAGAGAACTGTTGGAGTCTTGCTCGCACAGTTTCACCTAGATTTACATTAGGAGCTTTCTTGGCATTCTGCAGCCACGAATGATCTGCAACATAAAGGCATAATTCAAAGTTGTGATACATGCTATGAGGATCGTATCAATTAAAGAAAGAAGACATACATACAGTGACGTTAAAGGAATTCTATATAAAAACAAAAACCACATTCATTAATCAACCATCAGAAACAAGTCAAAGTGTTTGAAGACAAAAAGTTGGGAGCTTCAGCTCCCGACCTCAACACTCTCTCATTTCAACGACAAAAATTGGCCAGCTCATGTGCCAACACATTTTCCTGTTGAGGAAAATAAGAATATGTAACAGATCTCGATTCACATCCGGTGTCCTTAATGTCTTTCAAGTTTCAATAAAGACATCTTCTTACTCATTCAAATATGAGGTACAAGTTGAGGGTTTCTGTCATAAAGCATATATGGAAATGCATGAAAACCAACGAGAAAAGTGGTATCTAGTAATTATCCAACTGTACTAAATATTTGCCAAAAATAAATAGTACCACCTCCTTGACTTGTAGGCATACTGAAATAAGTCAAATAGGATTCAATATCAGCCACTGATTCTTGATAAAGAACCAAGAATAAATTGATTATTCTATATTTTGATAATATAATAATGCAGACCCGCAATCATCTTAAGATAAATAATATAAAAAGGTAGCACTTATTATATGTAACAAGATAGTAAAATAAAAATGTAAGTTCGAACAAGTAACGAAACAAAATGGATGCAAATTTAAAAATTACCAAGGACTTGCTGGGCTGTGAACCTCTGTTTTGGATCTGGATCAAGCATATGCCTGACTAGATCTTTAGCGCTATCAGAAACTTTTGGCCATGGATCTCTTTTAAAATCTATGGAAGAACGAAGAATTGCTTGAGCAACACCTTGTTCAGTTTCTGCAGATGAACAAAGAGTTTGATGGTTAATGGGCACACACCTCAGTTTTTGGATACACTGGTGTTACATATAGGAAAGCCAAAGAAGATATCATAAAGTTTCCAATGGTTTTCGTCCATTTGTAGAAGAAATTTACCCGACCAAAATGGGGGCACACCACAAAGCAGGATGTATAGGATCACTCCTGCACTCCAGACATCAACTTCTGGGCCGTAATTTCTCTTTAGAACCTCCGGCGCCATGTAATAAGGACTACCAACAATTTCAGAGAAATGTTCACCTGATAAGGGAAAAAAAGCATCACAATTTGGAAGACTTTACAGAACAGATTATATAATATGCTCAGCGTCTTTCCTCCATTAATAATCGCAACAAGTGAAGCCAAACATCAATCGTCAGGGATCCACAAGCATATTTAAATCTGAAGCTAACAAGGAAAAAAAATACACAAGAGCTAAGATAGCAGCAAAAAGGCATTTCTTCCCGCAATT